AACATCATTGCAAAGTTTACTCGCTACCACAGCCAGTTGCTTGCTCTCCTTTGTTTGTGGACACAAGACCTCCAGCAGCTTTCATGGGTGGTTCAGTTTGTGTGGAATCCATAGAGGTGAACAGAAGCAAAAAATCTGCACTTTGCAAGATGGACTTCAGATCCTATTGCTTTGGAGAGTTGGAAGGTCTCCTATTGGTATTCAGGAATGAACAAAGCAGAAATTCCCATGTTACTGTGGAAGTTGCACTTATGAAGATGTGGCCCCCTCTAGTTTTGACACTGACAGTGAGAGGAAATGGGAGCCTATTGCTGCTTATCTGAATGCAGCACCAGCTCGTCACCACAGGAGAAGCACAGGAAAACAAATAGTAGCAGAGGCCATGATATTAGTGCATAGCCATTGTGGTTGCATTTATTGTCATATTTGATTTTTGTTATTATACAAAATATACAGAGTTGAAAATGCAAAGCCGATAGCAGAGCCTGATGTGCCCCACTCGTGCAGTCAGACTGGGCTGTCTGATCCCCAGCCTAGTGACTGTAGTGAGAACACAGGTAGAAAGATGCAGCTGGTGTACAGATGTGGAAGGGAGCAGCAGACAGCATCAGGCACCTCCAGTTCCCCAGTTGAAGACAATCCCATCCACGTAGGGACTGCCCTCAGATTAAGAGAATCAACGAACAGCATGGAAACAGATTGAAACCAAAGAACAGTCTGTGAGGAGGTAAGAGATGAGTTGGGGTATGAGCTTTGCAGAGCTGAGGCATGATCTAGATAGAACCACCATGACAGGAAGGAGAACCCAAAGCCAAATGGAAAGTTGGGACCCTCCTACTTTATGTTCATAATTTTAGGATAACCTAACTCTGTACTCATCATCACTAATGTAGATTGAAAATCCCACTTTACCCATAAACATGCACTAAAATGAGGATGGCGTGGGGAAACCCACTGTTCTATCAATCTAGCCAGCCGGATTGTAAATGTGACAGTTTGCTTAAAGGGTGTGAAGGGGCAAATCTGCATTAGGAGTGCTGTTGAGTACACAATTAAATACATACTTCTAAATATAAACTCCCCTAGGATAGGCATTATGTTCTCAAAAAGAGAACAAAAATCCTTGTCTTAACCTGGAAGTGTACGGTTTGAACTGGTGGGAGGCCTCATTATGTGAGATGGGGTAATTTGGGGGGTGTTACACCTCTGTTTCTAGCTGTCCAGCACTGTTTCTGGTGGGCCTAAGGCTGACTCAGGCCCTAGGCACAGGGAAAAGAAGAAATGACTATTTCAGGGGAGTTATGCATGTATAAGATGCACTGTTTGTCTTCAGTTAAAGGATCTCAGGTGGCAGGGCTGGGAGAAAAAACTGCCTGTGAATTTGGAGATAATAGGCCAGGGATAAGTTCAACTCATGACTGCCTAGCCAGATTTAAAGACAGCTCCTAATGTCAGGCCCATTAGCACTACCTCTCAACTTGTTAAGTGAAACTTTGAGACTAGGCTTGTCTAGAAAATACAGGAGAAGCTAGATTCTAGGTTCTGTTCTGCCAGCTATCTACTGCTTTCCTAGTTCTGTTTACAGCACTTCCTCTCCAGTCTTGCTGCCACATTGCCCTTTTAGCCTGTAACCAGGAATGTTATGCCATGGAATTTGTTCCCTGATTCCAGAAGAACACCTTGGATTCTTCGTAATGGAGGGGTGATACTGTAAAGGACGTGTCAGCTTTACAACCTTACATGAGCGCTAGCTACTTGCCAAAGGAGACCACCTTGTACAAACACCAGCACCCCTCACACAAATGGGCAGCTATCAAATGGGAAGCACTTGCTGTCAGGCCTGCATCTTGGCCCCAGCTGATAGGGACAGCTTCCATGCTACGGCACTGCATGCATGAAGCTTGAAACTCCCTCCTTCCACAGAGAGTTGACTACATCGTTGACTATGAAATGTGAAACATTCTGCAGGATACATTATCCCTGCACAAGTCATTTTTGGGGGTGGCTGATGACAGTATCAAAGCTTTCTGTAAAATGGGAATGATCCATTTCATACTTTATGGCCACTGGGTAGGCTGTTTCAAGCGACTTGAACAGTAACCTGCAGACTTGCCCTGACCATCATGAGATGCACACTTCATTGAATAGTCCTTGCATTGGAAGCTGCCTAAGGTGTGGCTACAGATTCTGAGTAGCCATGTGGGAGAGAGTCTCGAAATAGGAGTAATACCACCCACACCCTGGTGTGCTTTGGCCATATATCTGAACAGAAGAGAACTATTGGTGACCAGATTTGAGACTGAGATAATCTGGACAAGATGACCCTGAGGAGGAGGAACAGCAAAGATACAAGGTGTGGGAGTGAAGGGAGTGTTGCTTATGGAAACTGACCTGTATAGCAAAAAAGAAAGGCAGGGTAAGAATATTTTAATAAATGGATATATTAATTAATATTGATTAATAAGTGTGGCTGATGACAGGGAAGTGCAAAAGGATAGGAGAGTGTTGTTTCAGTTCCTAAAGTATATCTATGGAAGGGATTGGTCTGAGGAGGATTAAAAACAGCTGGGATGTTGAGTGGCAATGATCATTCAGTGGCCTGGGTTGGGTGGCCCAAGTTAAGGAAAGGGGGCTTTAAAAATGCTGTGAAGAGCCTTGAGGCTATGGGACTGGGTAGTGTACTTGTTTCATGTGTATTTAAATTTCTTATTTGTAGAAACAGAACTACACTCCCCTTGCCTCAAGGCCTAGTACATCTGTGATCCTTAAAGCACGTCTAGACTAATATAAAGAGGAATTCTTAAGTATTAATTAGGCGGACTGGCAAGAGGTGGTGGCAGTCTCAGGAAAGGCAGAGCCACACATGGGCTCCAGTGCACATGGAAGTCTGTTTGCATAGGTAGTAACTCCTGAGTCAGCCAGCTCCTCTTCCAGCCTCATGCCAGTCCTTCATTCACTGCCACAGGAATCGCTCCTGAATTACACACTTTGTTTGAAAGCACTCCATATAGGGACCCTGCTCCAGTGGTGCCTGAAGCATCCTCTAAATGACCGCATGCTTTCTCGGGAGTTGTGACTCAGTGTGAGGCTGAAACCGAAGAATCAAAGTTATGAGGGGTGGCGGCTAGGATGTAGTAACAATAAAACTGAATGGAGCTCAGGACTAGGGTTGGATAGAGGAGTATTCGTAA